TGCAGACTGGAACTATGTGTCTCTGAGCCAGTGAGCGACCAAGATCGGCTCTCAGCAGGTGCAGAGCAGAGCTCCGCACATCACAGAAAGAGCTGCGGTGTCTTCAAAAAGCATTTCTCTGCCAATTCCTCACTCACAGACTCGTTCCCAACGTGCCTCACAGCAGCTCAAACCCCAGGACTGAATGGTTGTAGCTGGTAAGAAACTGCAGGTTCAGATTTGGGTTTAGCTTGCTTGACCAGACTGGCTAGCCAAGAGGAGGAGAGTAGTGGCATCCCCCTGACCCACCCCTATAGACAGAATGAGCTTCTCTAGCTGCAGCAGGTGAAGGGATGGAGTGTGGGATCTGCAGGTGATGGACTGTGAGTAAGAGGTGGTTCCCACATCACGACTTCTTCGGACTGGCCGAGAGTTGATCTCAGGTCCCAAGCTTCATACATACACTCCAAGTTTTCATTCCAAGCAGGGATTTTCAATCTGGGTTGCCGATACATGGAGTCTTCACCTCCGTGATGTTAGCCCCCACTACAAGCAGCACAAACCACCTCATTCGTTAGCGCTACGTTTGTGGGGTTAAAAGTAGCATTTGTCCTGCTTTCGTTTCCGAGATTAAGCGCCTTGTTTTTTCGGGGTCGTAACGTCATTCAGCCCCCCTACAACGTCGTAGGGGAACCGGACCGGTCTCATTCGTTAGTGCTTCGTTAGTGCTGCGTTTGTGCCGGTTTGTGCCGTTGAAAGTAGCGTTTGTGCTGCTTTCGTTTCCGAGATATAGCGCCTTGGTTTTCCAGGGATCACATGACCATGCACGGTGACTTTGACCTCCAGTGACCCCGTCTGCCGAGTTCAAGCCCTCTGTTACTGACGCGAGAGTAACAATTCTGCAATACCTGTATCTTCTGCACGTTTGTGTGAACAGGAACATTACAATTGTCACCAATATCACACCCTAGTCAGAAGAGTTGCGGGTGTAGCCTTAAAAGGCGAACATTAGCAAGCAACTGCATGCTGCTTACAAAGAGGCATTAACTAGCACGTCTCAATATTTCGGAGCTGTGTCCTTTTTTAAAAATCTGAAGAAGTAATCGGTTTCTCATAGCGTCGTTTTTAAATAAATATGTAAATCGAGGGCCTTTTAAAGATTCGACCCGTCTTTCGAGCCACGGATTTAAAAAAAGTTAGGATTAGCAACTTCCTGTATCACAAGACCATTGTTTTTTTATATTTCTTATGCAAAAAAAAATCGTAAATGTGAAACAGAACCAGGGTTTTTTAAAGGGGGCACTATGCACTTAATTGACCTACAGTAGGCAGTTCAAACCGCAACTGCAAAACGACATTGGAAACTCTACTGTCTCACCCATGCAGACCTCAGAAGTTAACCAATACAGGTACAGCACTTTTAATTACTTGATGTGATGAAACCAACGGGTTTGCATTTTGAGCAATCTGAGTCCGCTGGGGTGGAAGTTTTTTATTTTAATACAGCGCCTTCCTTTTCGGGGTATGACGCAAATACAGAAAGATCACGACCACCAGATCTGACCACACTGCAAAAGACACAATTTCAGCTGGGAGAAATATGACGACTTAACGAAGGCATTCATATCTGTGTCTTCAGCGGTCAGGGTGTGCCCCACGCTGTATTCTACACCAAGGATTGACCAGGGATACACAGATAAAAGGACTGTGACCTAATCGTGCTATGTTTCCACGCAAGAGCACTGTAAATACGAAAACATGGATAATGACTGACTTTTAAGACCTTAGATATATGTTCGGTTATTTTAAATAAAATAAAAATCGGAAATAAATATATTTTCCAATATTTCCGCGGTCTGCATGTGTGAGACGGTAGAGGACACAGCTCCGAAATATTGAGACGTGCTAGTTAATGCCTCTTTGTAAGCAGCATGCAGTTGCTTGCTAATGTTCGCCTTTTAAGGCTACACCCGCAACTCTTCTGACTAGGGTGTGATATTGGTGACAATTGTAATGTTCCTGTTCACACAAACGTGCAGAAGATACAGGTATTGCAGAATTGTTACTCTCGCGTCAGTAACAGAGGGCTTGAACTCGGCAGACGGGGTCACTGGAGGTCAAAGTCACCGTGCATGGTCACGTGATCACCGGAAAGCCAAGGCGCTATATCTCGGGAACGAAAGCAGCACAGACGCAGCCCTACCGAATGAGACCGGTCCGGTCCCCCCTACGACGTTGTAGGGGGGCTGAATGACATCACCTCCCCAAAAAAGAAGACGCTATATCTCGGGAAAGAAAGAAACTGGGAAGTCACTTTCAAACGGCACAAACGTAGCACTAATGAATGAGGTAGGTTTAATCGTTTGTGCTGCCTGTAGGGGTCCTTCTGTTGTGAATAGAAAGAGGTTACAACACTTTATGGGTCAATGTCCGGGCTGTTTAAACTGTGCAATCGATCAGCTACCAGCAACCATAACTGATTTCCAGAAGGCAAATGACCTCTTATCCTTTGGAAAATTTTGTGGCTCATATACTAAACAGCAGTTTTGTGGTTAAGTTGAAGTTTAGATTTAAAGATTTGTAGCTTTCCAGAGTTGTAGTTATAAATATTATCTGATATTGCCTTGTTTAAAGCTTCTAAGTCGATGAACAAGGTTTGCAATTCCTTGCTAGGTTTTCAGCGAGCTCTCTTCACTGTTTTATCAACAGACCTATTATTTATATTCATTATTGAACAGGATGCTTAATCACCTGCACATCGATGTTTCTTGAAGGTCACAAAATAAGGCATTGAAGTAGAACATATATCTATATTGCACATATCCAGCACTGCAATATTACTACTGTAGCACTATGTGGAAGGTGTGAGAGTAACAGCTGGGATCTGTTAAATTGGCCTTTTTCCAGAAGGTATAGTAAGACAGAATAATGGTGACTTATTTTAACAGCTGCAACAACTAATGTCCTTCTACAGGGTGTTAAGAGTAGAAGTAATCCTATATAATGACATGATGAACACTGAAAGTGTGAAACCAACTTTTGTCACATAAGGAAGGACAAGACAAACACTCACAAACGCATCGTAAAACAGGACAAACATTCAAAGTGTGAAAGAAACTTCTTTCTGAGCCTGTAGACTGTATATCAGAGCTGGGAACTGTATATCAGAGCTCAATAAAACCGGATCTGGACAAGACTGTGTCCTGCTCCTCTGATGAAGAATTTCCTACAACAGCATCTTGTGCCTGGTGTCCCAATCGCCAAAATCAACACAGCCAGTTCACCCCTAATTATTGTGAAACACACCTGACCTTTGTGGCAGTAAAATCCAGCAATCAGTTTTTCTTCTAATCTCATCTTTGTTGGCAAGGAAGGGTTATTTTCCACCCCTGGCAAAGTGCAGATGTTGATCTGGAATAAGCAGCTCTTGTCTAAATGAGAGCTCTTTCAGGATCTCGCCCTACAAACATAGATCAAAATGCAAAAGTAACTTTTGGCTTTAAGCGTTGATTTGGGGAGGAGGTGAAGGACTGCACCTTTTATGACGGGACATGGCATGCCTGTTAATGGTTAATGGTTGAATTTTTTTTTATTTCACCAGCCAAAGTTCGCTTTATTAAGGGTGCTTGGCTGCACCAGGCTGTGACAAACCAGCATCTCTCCCTTCCAGCCTGCCCAGACCGGGACTCCTCTCTACCGACAGCATGCCCGAGGACAAGCTGGAGCTCAGCAACATGGAAACCACTTTCCTGGATGGCTCCCCGAAATCGGCCAGGACCCCCAGCACTTTTGAGCGCCTGATCCAGCCCTGCGTGGCGGAGCTGGTGGGGACTATGTTCTTCGTCTTCATCGGCTGCGTGTCGGTCATCGAGAACGTGGAGGCGGCCGGCCGACTGCAGCCCGCCCTGGTGCACGGGCTGGCAGTGGCCGTGCTGGTGGCCTGCATGGCGGAGATCAGGTGGGGAGATCCAGCCTGCTGGGGGTGGCACGTGGCTGCTGGCTGGCATAGGGATATTAGCTGGCTGTGACGTTCTTGCTTTTAGAGCGTTTTTTTTGCTTTTTTGGCTTGAAGTTTCTGCAAAGAACAGGGGGACTATTCTTCAAAGTGTTTTGCACTCACCTCAGTATGGTTTTTCCTTTGTATCTATCAATACTGTAGGTGAGGTATGCATCAGGATGAGCTCCCACCTATATACTGTACTGTATGTTCGATGCACTTGCACAACAGCAGTGCAATGAGACAGAAAAGACTTACATTATGTACCAAGTGCTGGTGTTTTGCATTAAATGGGAACTCAGGTGACCTCTATTTGAAAGAAATAGGAAAGGGGATTAAGCTTTTAGTTTGAGTTGAACTCAGACAGTTGAAGATGTAGAGATGAAGCAGAACCCGCTGACACATCACTGGGCAAAAACGTGAAAACAAGCCGCAGGTGTGCTCTATGAGCAGAAGAGTTTTGGAACTTTAAAAAGCTACAGTCCAAAGATATACTGGTACTGTAGGTATCTTGGCTTCAGGGAAAGCTGGCCCTGGTGTGAGTGTATGTGTTTGTGTTGGTGTTGCCCTGTGGACTGGTGTCCCATCCAGGGTGTATCCTGCCTTGTGCCCCTTGCTTGCCATGACTCCATGATCCAGGTCCCCTGCCAGCTGGCCCTGGATACAGAGGTTAGAAAATGGATGGATGTAATTACTTTTTCATTTTGCTGACACTTTTATCCAGGTGTTGCACCCATTTATATCCTTAAGTGTTTTATGAGAGCAATTCAGGTGAAGCACTTTGCTCAAGGTTACAGCTAGATCTTGACTAGGATTTCAACTCATGACCTTCTAGTTACAATGCCAGAACCCTGTCCACTGTGCCACTCCACTGCTCCATAGCGATAGTAATGCTTTTGTTGTGACGGCATCCTTCGGCAACCATTTGCCCTTGGAAACCATCACATCCTCACAGTGGCTTCACGATTTTGTTGCTCTGACATTTTTTTTCACTTCACCCCAGATTTTCACGAACACTACTATCTGCACTCTTCACATTTCTTTGCTGAGCTAGACGGTCTTTACTCTGCACAGAAATTGCAGCCTCAACGCTGTCCTGAAACCCATTTGGTCCTGTCTTTTTGGAGTCATGCTGTTTTGGTTTCTCAAGGCTGTACTTCACTCTGCACAGCAGTGTTCAGCTTCAGCGTTGCCCGGAAACCCAAGCCAGCCTTTCCTCTGCACAGCAGTCTCAGCAGCCTCAAGTCTTCCTCAGGAGGCTCGCATCTTGGTTTATTTCGTACATGAGTCTCTCTGTTTCCGATTGGTGGATTGCTTGGTAGCAGTCCCAGCCTCTAGTCCTGCGTTGCCCGGTGCACCAGCCTCTGCTCCCAGCCTTTGCCCGGCGTTGTTTGGCGCACCAAGCCAGCCCTTGCTCTGCACAGCAGTCTCGACGGCCTTGCCAGAGCTTCACCCTGCACAGTTGTCTTCAACAGCCTTCCCTCTGCGCAGCAGTCTCGGCAGCCTCAGGTCTGCCCTTTAAAGCCATCCAGCTCCCTTCCCAGGAGGCTCGTGACTTAGTTTCTACATGAGACTCTCTGTTTCCGACTGGTAGATTTTTTTTGTAGCATTCCTAGCTTCTTGGTAGCAATCACCAGCCTCTGCTCTCACCATCGCCCGGTGCAGCAGCTTCAGCTCCTAGCCTGCGCCCTGCATCATCTGAGACAGCAGTCTCAAATTCTAGCCAGCACTTTATTCCACACTTTCACTTTTCACTGCTCACCACATCCACCCTTGAATTTGCCAATCTGCATCCGTGGCACTGCTTAGGACTGCCAATCTAAGCCTGTTCGGTTCCTTTTTTCAGGGGTCTCGCTACTGAGGTTTTTTCCGTACCAGAGACTTCCTTTTTCAGACTCAAGTGTAGCAGCCTTTTTTCGTCTGGGATGCCAATAGCCCAGCTTTTCCTGGGATCGTCGTTCCTCCCCATTACTGACCGGCCTGGGCTGATTAGTAATCAATTATTTCAGTCTCACCTTTCACTCTCCGGTCTCTTGCACTTGGGTTCTGCCATATCACCACCCACGCTGCTGTATCCAGATGCGGCATTACAGCTTTAAAACAGCAAGTTCTTGGCTCATTTATGGCCAAATGGGTTATTTCATGCAATAGAAGACAAATAATTAAAATCCACACTTTCCAGTGTGGTAAATCCACACCACCTCTTGTGCATCCATCGAACAAAAACGGGGTACTCAAACTTCTGCCTTGATCAAAATAAGACTTGTGATTGAGGAAACTGTCCCCTAACATTTTAATGATTTAAAGTGCAGCAGTCGGAATTTTGTATGAGATGTATCATTGTTTGCCATCCATTTTCTAAAAGCTTCTTCCAATACAGGATCACAGGGAATCCGGAGCCTATCCCAGCAAGCTATGGGCTCGAGGCAAGATACACCCAGGATGTGACGCCAGTCCTTCGCAGGGCAGGCAGACACACGGCCACACTGTGGGATGAAAACATGCAAACAGCGAGAGAACATACAAACTTCACACAGATAGCACCCCAGATCCAGAATCAGACCCAGGACCCCAGTGCTGTGAGGCAGTAATGTTAACCACTGTGCCACTGTGCCTCTCTCAGTGTTTGCCACAATTGTTAATTTTGTGGGCAGGGGAGGGAGGCTTTGAACATGCAAATAAGTCAGCAGAAAGTGATATGGGGCCTTAAAAAAACTTAAAAAGTACAGCTACATAAGAGGTTCTGCTATTTATATTATATATATATATTTCTCTGTAGTTTTATGACTTTTACGAGCACTATCCTTTGACATGGTATTGTTCTAAATATACAAGAACACTAATGCTTTTCAGAGGTACTTGAAAACACTCAAGCATGAAACTGTCAGATGCAAAAATTATCACAGTACAAAAGTTCCCAGGTGTACAATGACTTACTGGCAGAGCAACCCATCTCCATGGCAACAAACCCACAGCTGGCTCGAACAGAGCAGCGCACTTTGACATAGACCCGCATTGTACCGGAATTGCTCGATTTGGGGTTTTCACACTTAATGATGAAGGACGTATAAGCAAACTTCAGTAAGTCTTGTCCTCGCTTGCCAGCTAGCAGTATGAAAGTCATGTTGAGATGCTCTGCAGCTGTGGGTTCGGATCCCGGGTGAGACATTGTTGTTGCTCCCTTTGGCAAGGTATTCTTTCAGTAAAACGCTCGGCTGTATTAACGGGGCACAAATGTAAGCCGCTTCAAATTGTCAGGGATGTAGCTCAGTGGTAGAGCGCATGCTTTGTATGTATGAGGTCCCGGGTTCGATCCCCGGCGTTGTGTTACTGTACCTTGCGATCTTCTGTTGAGTGAGAACTCTTTGCTTGTGTTCATGTGTTCATTAAATTCAGGCACACTCGATGTGGTACAGTGTTGCTCTGCTGTTTTGGGCGGAGCGGTGGCTCTGTGGCTAAGGATCTGCGCCTGTGACTGGAAGGTTGCCGGTTCAAATCCCGCGGCTGGCAGAGGAATCCTACTCCGTTGGGGCCCCTGAGCAAGGCCCTTAACCCCAACTGCTCCAGGGGCGCTGTACAATAGCTGACCCTGTGCTCTGACCCCAGACTTCTCTCCCTGTCTGTGTGTCTCATGGAGAGCAAGTTGGGGTATACGAAAAGAAGAATTCCTAATGCAAGAAATTGTATAGGGCCAATAAAGTGATGTTATTGTTGAATTAAGTAATAGGTTTATTAAACCGATTACTTGTTCCTTTGCAGCCTACGCATGCTGATGCAGCTACCCACCTGAACCACTTTGAATTAAAGTGCCAACCAGGGAAAGATCTCAAATACAGAGTGGTTGGTGTTTGTTAGATATCTATCCCCAGTAAATGGAAGAAATGATTATTCATATTTAGCTAAAAACTGCAGGGGCAGCCCAGGACACACTGCTCCTCCAATCAGCACTCGCCTTCCCGAAAGCCGCCGTGGGGCTTGTGATGTGCCGAAAGATGACTGGCTCGTTAAGTGGGCGGGTCAGAGGCACACATTCTCCGTGAGGGTACAGAGATGTGACCAGAGACAGAATGAACCGCTGACCCCAAACTGGGTTTGCATATTAAAAAAATACAAATGAACCAAAATGGTCACTTACTCCATTTTAAAGATATGCCCTTCTCGCTAAACTTCTGAATTCTAAAGGAGCACGAGTGACCAAAGGACTTTCTGTGAATGCTAGGCTGATGAGAGAAGAACTGGGCCTCAAATGCAGGCTCTATGGGAGAGTCTGTCCAAACCAAATTAAACCCCCGGCTTGTCTCTGCGTCTGCTCTCCTCAGCGGCTCTCACTTCAACCCGCCCTTCACCATCGCCATCTTCCTGGTGGGAGGGATGAAACTGGTCATGGTTGTCCCGTACATCGTCTGTCAGCTGATTGGAGGAGTGATCGGCGCGGCCATGTCAAAGGTCAGAGGAACGTCTGCGTCGGCAAACCAGCATGACACCCCCTATCCCCCCCCCCCCACTTCCCTTGCGACCACTCCAAAACCAAATACACCAGCAGGTAAAGCCAATGGTAGCAGAAGAAAACCCAACACTGGGTCTAGTACAAAATCTGATTGACGTGAGACACATTAGCCTGTCTGGAATTTAGTAGTTAACTCATCCAGCTATTGGTGGAAGCCAAGGTATCGGCTTCAACCACATGCCTGGTTTGCTTATTCCACACCACCACGCCAATTCTGGGGTAGAGAGGCGTCTCCTGCTCTAGGGGTCGCATGCGCTCTTCCTTCTAATGAGTCTATCAACGCCGTCAGGTGATGACTTCAAGGCAACACTACGCCAATGCAACAGGAGCCGCCTTCACCATCCTCAAAAGAGAGGATGAGCTGTGGGGCGCTCTCTTCGGGGAAGTAGCGATGACGTGCCTCGTCACCATGGTGGTGCTGCTGGGAGCGGTCAACGGCAAGAGCAAGAGCCCGATGGTGCCCTTCATGGTGGGCTGCACTGTCATCGTCAATATCCTGGCCGGGTGAGTACGGCTTCGGGTACCCCCATTCTCCAGTGCCGCAGCAGGGAGAGTGGCCCGCCGAGAAACTGTAACGGGAGCCGGTCCTGACTCCCGTGAAATGCGTAGTTTGGGTCTCTGTGCAGACGGTATAATCCGGAAGTGACTGGAGGAGGGCTACAGGGAATACGCGGTGAGGGATGGAAGGGATGGCGAACAGGGGGCGGCGCCGACGGTGATCCCAGTTGCGTGCGGGGAGCGCTGGCCAACGAGTCCAAACGAGGGAAGTCCAAACAGGAAACGAGGGCGCAGTCCAGGGTCCGGGTGCCGGGAGATCCATCCAAGACAAACGATTAAAACCAGGAAGGGGATCAGTGACAGGAACAGGAACAAGGAGGTTAAAAACAGAGTGACGAGGCCAGGCTCTCCGAGCCCCGGACTCAGCTGGTCAGGACGCCGTTCGGAAGCCTGTGCCTTATGAATAGGCTTGATGCTAGGCGGGCCTCTGGGCGTCCGTCTTCCAGTGCAGAATCCCGAGCTCCTGGAGCGCTGGGTTTAAATACTAACCAGGAAACAATGCACAGGTGTACGTAATAAACTAGAAACAATCCGAAAAGGTTAGGAGCGCCCTCTAGAGGAGAGAGACAACCGTGACACCCCCTCTCGGCTCTTAGTTTACAACAGCCACATCTCGGACGTGAATCCCCCCCAAATCTCTGGAATCCCGCACATCTGCCCTGATCCGCTGACGCCCTGAACACAGGGGGGAACCGTCCGGTCTCTAGTCTTAGTGATTACATGTGACCTCGTCATCATCAAGGGATGAATTGTGCACTCATTGTATGGAGAGAGTCTGATATTTGAACACAAGCTTTTCTTAGGAATACCCCACGACTCCTTACATTTAGTGGTTAATGAGATTAAAACACAGCTTTTGATTCTTATTACTATGCATCAGTAGTCCCAGTACTGAACAAAGTCTTAGCTTTATTCTACATGCATCCCTGGCCTTGTCTCAAGGTCTTGTGAAAGTCCTATAATCACAGTAGGGGTCCAGATTTTTCCAATGTGCTCTACCTCTGTATCTAGGTCTGTCTGTACTGGGAGGCTGTATCTATATTCCATCTGGACTGGGAGATGTACTGGGAGAATCTCTCATTACAACTCAGTCTTGGGAATATATTGTAATCAATTTCGTCGGCAGTGTTACCGGGTTATTTGACTGTCCCTCAGAGAACTGGACTGAACTGAGAGCACTGCACACAAAAACAAAGAGAGTGATTCCAGTACAGTGCGGCCCATTCCAATCCAATTTGTCGCTGCTCAAGACAATAGCATAACTACTGAAGAAACGTCCAGAGTCTCACTGAGAGAAACTCTTCCTCTGTTTTGCTGTAGCGGCGACATATCTGGCACCTGTCTGAACCCAGCCAGAGCCTTTGGCCCGGCGGTGCTTGCTAACTACTGGACTTACCACTGGGTGTACTGGGTGGGCCCCATACTGGGAGGCATACTTGCTGCAGCACTGCTGAGGTGAGTCCAGCAGCTCCTCGATCAAACCTACTGTACAGGGTGGCGGAGAAATAATGCAACACAAAAAGCTACCACTATTCTGAACACTTACTGATGCAGCTGATTTGCAACTTGTCATTTGATGAATGTTATTTAGATGTGTTGTATATCAACTGTCTAGGTTCTTCTTATCTCTGAACAGTCTCACTTCACAAAAGGCTCACAGTCTACCTAGATATACATTGCAACTCTTGCATTAAAAGGATGGTATTCTCTGCATCTCTTGTTTCAGCCCCCTATTTCGAGTGATCACCTTTGATGTCTTTCATTATCGAGGGCTGCACCTTGCCCTCTGCCTTTAAATAGATTCTGGGAATTTCTGGGGAGTCCCTGAAGCTTCTTTAATAAAAACAAGATAGTATTAGAATCTAAAGACTGGGGTGGCTGCACTATAATCACTGTAATTACACCCTGATAAGTACTAGTATTTGCAATTAAAACTGACTGACACAGAATCCAGAAAGCCTGGCTGGAGTATTTCCAGAGCTTTGCCCTGGTTTCAACAGGCAGCAGCTTGCCTGGGTACTGCTTGACAGATTTGATTTACAGTACAGTACAAAATTTCCCATTGGCCTTTACCAGTCATGGCCTCCTAATAATCCCCATCTCTGAACTGGCTTGATCACTGTGTCCTCCTCCCCACTGATGTGCTGGTGTGTGGGGAGCGTACTGGCGCATCATCCAGGTTGGGCAGCACATTGGTGGTGGTAGAGGGGATCCCCATTACCTGTAAAGCACTTTGAGTGGAGTGTCCACAAAGGCGCTATATAAGCGTAAGGAATTATTATTATTGCTTTACAGGGAGCCTAAGCCTAACCCAGTAGGCCATGGGTACCAGGCAGGACACACCCTGGATGGGATGTGCAACACTGGGCACACAGACACAGATACACAAGCAATCACACCAGGGGCAGTTTTGCCCGAGTGGAACTGACCCATCAGTGGGTCTTTGGATAACAGAGCACTCAGAGGAAACACACTCGAACACAGGAAGAACATGCAAACTCCACACAGACAGCAGCCCAGGAACTGAATGCAGGGCACCAGGCCTGTTAGGCGGTAGTACTAATCGCTGCGTCATTGTGACACCCTCTCTGGTCACCCATTAAGGCCAAAATGGCTTTTTTTCCCTTGCAGGGTCCTGCTGGGTGATGAGAAGATCCGCCTCATCATGAAATGATGAGCCCCTTCAAATCGGCACCAGCTTCACGTGGGACTTGTTCTAGAGCTTTGTCAGCGGCCTGTGGTTGCAAAAGAACTGAACAAGACACAAAGTCCATTCCTACGTGGAATAAAAAAAAAACACCTCTCAAGCTCAACCCCTTGGAAAAAGCTTTCATGAATTAAATTCACTCCGTGTTACAATTTTCTTGTAGAACTTTGCCAGACATGTAATCTTAACTTTTTTTTTTCCTCTGTCATCACGAAGAGCATTAAAAATTGAAAAGGAGATCAGCAATAAAGGTCACTGGGAACAAAATGTGGTTTACAGCAAGATACCTAGAGAAATCACATCTGGAACCATTTTAATGTGTAATTACAGATAATGATCTAAATTCAGTTTAAGATCCAGGGATCCTTTTAGGCTTCAGCTTGGGAAAATATCCCTGCCCTCTTTAAGTATTAAACCTGTAGCTTGCTGTACAGTTTCCATTGTGTAACACAATCAAAATCCAGTGTTGTGTACCACTGTAACATTTTTGTTCTTCACGTAATAATCTATGCTTTGTAATGTATATTTGAGGTATTTTGAAGCATTGAGTTGTTCTTCTAAATCTGATTGGGTTTTTATTTCGATTGCATGTCATCGTAAATGCAAATCACTGAAGTGACTTTGGGCATGGGTGCATGGTGCACATTGGGTGGCAGAACACAACCATGCCCCAGCTGTCCATCAGCACTGGAGCGGACAGTACCAGGGTTGGGGTGTCTCAGCTGTGCAGGGAAACAATTGCAGATCCCCACGTAACCAGAAGACGATCTGGGAAGCAGGGCTCTGGTTGTCATGGTAACCCAAGGTAGGCGCAGCCCACACAGTGTAACTCTGCCTGACAGAAAGAGGAAAGCGCAAACGTACACATTCCTCGACACAGAAGGCAACAGTTTTATTCACCCGATGCCTCGCAGCGGGACAAAGGCAACGGGGCTCGATTTCAACAGGACAGGGGTTGCTTTCAGGCCCTGCGACTCGTCTCTTTGCTTTCGGTTTTCCAGCTCTTCTTCAGCATGTACACGACAGCTGCCGTTGCAATGGCCCCATAGGTTACCAGAACACACTGGGACGAAAGAAACACAGGTATTTCAGTGTACAGTGTGTGTACAGCTAGCCAACTGGCTATGTGTGCTTCAAGCTAAATTCTCCAACATGAAATGAGGCTAGTTAAAATTGGGTCATTTTTAAAAACAGGTGCCTCAATCCTAATAAAGGAGGTAGGGTAGGGTAAAGGCATACCCCACAATAGTTAAAGAAACATGATCTTATCTAAATCAGTCATATGCTTCTCAGAAATGCAGCTCTCTTTTAAAAAGACTGCTGTGGATCACTTGATATCTGCAGGGCATGTAGCTAGGATAGCTGATAACCATATCTAGCACCTGAGGGCTTCCATCTTCTAGAAAACAGGTGACACCAGCCTGCTGCTCTTTTATAATGAAGAAACGCAGGAGACCAGCCTGGGCTGCAGATTTAGAGAAAACCACTTCACAGTGTTAGTGGTGCCATAAAGCCTGTAGTGCTACAAAATGTACACTGATAGTTGCACAGAGTGTTTTAAACCTTTTATAGTTCAGAACACCTACTGCAAAGCCTGGCGCTTCTGGTTAAGAAATGCATTGAGTCATTAAAACATTTCAGCAGAAAGACAGTTACTATATATACATACTATAAAGCACCATCTGTGACAAAAGAGGTATACTTCTTACTCTCTGGAGTCTGCAAAAATGCATAAAATGTTTAAATGTTCCGCAAAGCCCTTGAAAGCACATTATTTCACCTAGATCAAAGCTCTAACAGAGTCCTCCATCACCAGGAATGGGGCGAGAGAACAGTCGAACAGAACAGATTTCCAGTGGCTTACATTTCTCCGGCCTGGCAGAGTGTAGCTGTTGAAATGCTTCCTCCATCCCTTTAGCTCACGAGCGTTTGGACCCTCGATCCCAAGGAGTTGTCTCTGCAGAGACACCGCAGCGTTAGGGCTATCAGAGACGCAGTTCGTTCACAACACAGTTATCGGCACTTAACTATGCGTTAACTCCACAGTATGTCTGCTTTCTCCTGACAAGACGAAGCTGTGCTGAAGCGCATTTATATCCGAGAGCACAAGGCACTTCTTTACACAAAGAGTTGTGGGAGTGTGGAACAAGCTAAAAACAGCATGTAGTTAAAGAACACACCCTGGATTCCTTCCATCCAGGGTGGGGTCCTTAGATCAATTAACTACCAAACAGTCTAGATGGGACGAATGGTCTCCTCTTGTTTTTCATCTTTATTGCCTAACTAAACAACAGAGAAAAGTTTTTTTTTTCATTTTTCTGAGTGGCCTCAGACACTAGACAGTGTTTTGTAGTTTTGATACAAATACAGGTCACTGAAACACATTGTGCTTCGCATATATTCATCCCCTCAGTCAGCCAGTTTAAATACTGTACATATCAGGCTATAGAGTCTCAGCTAATATCTGGTTCCTTGGAGACTGTTAGAAGACCTTCAGAAACCAGTGTAGAGCTCTTTTGCCTGAAGAACAGTAGCATGGAAATCTACTCTCACACATAGCCGGTTTAATTTCATTGATGAATCTGTTTTGACAAAGCCTTTATTAGTCTACAATTATGTTTCCAATGGTTTATGTTTCAGAGAGCACTAAATTATATTGATTATTTCTGTTTTTTTATATGCAATGTGGGGAGGGTCCAGTTGAGATTGATTGATTGATTGATTGATTGATTGATTGAAAAGGGCTCTCCTCTCCATAAATATCTGAAGAGCCCTCTTGGAGATTTCAGTGTTTATCTCGAAGAAAAAAAAAATATTTGCCAATGACGGGGTTCACGCAGGAAAATAAACACTTCAAACCAACCTTTTTCTACAGCCTCCTACAGGCAGAGATGTCAATGAATCTAGCAGCACGTGTCTGGAAGATAGGAGGAAACTGGCACACCCAGAACACAGACAGAACGTGCAAACTCCACACAGAAGACAATCCAGGGCAGAACTCAACCCTGAATCCCAGAGCTGCTGGGCAGCAGTGCCAGCTGAATAAGCCATGCCCCCCCCTCTGTGACAATAATGGGAGAAAATGTAAAAATACTTCCAATGGTGGCCATACTGTAGATCCCCTGTTGACCAGCTCTCTTAATGACAAACATTATCCGGCAAACACAACTTACATATGTCATGTCTCTTCAGTCAAAATCAGTACCACCTGATGAACAAAAATAGTCACTTTCTCTATAAGTTAATTAATTAACTGGGTGAAGTTATAAGTGATTGTTTTAACTCTCTATATATTTATTGACCTCTACTGTCAAGAAGTATATATTCTCATAATACACATCCGTCGCCTCCGTGTGGTCAGCCAATGAGGGAAAAATGAGTCTGGCCAATCAACTGAGATTTCGTGAAATAAAGTTGGAGAGGTAGGTATTTCACAATCGCACCAATGGACTTCCGGACTGTCACCAGGCTTACCTTAACTTCTGTGATGAGATGGCCGAAGCTTGTTAATGGTATTCTGGTTTTCACTGGGCTTGTTGGCATGACGTTACTGTAATGAAAAAAAAAGTAGTGTGTGTTTGTTAGATACTGTAATTGTACTACAGTCTGACATTCCTGGGTCCGTTTTATTGCTAACAAACCACACGTAAAAGAACAACTGTAAACATGCATGACAGCTAAGCTACAAACAAACAAGTCAGTGTTCCTTACCCTTTTGTCATTGTAAGTTCAGATTTATTTTATTGATTACAGTATTCTAAGGCTGCAATGACTTTCTTTAACAAACACCACTGCTGAGGCGACACCAGCACAAAAGAACTGACAAGTAGTTCAACCAACCAGATTGATGTTTGTCTTCAGCCTTGGCCAATCATCTTCTTCGAATGCTCGGCAGTGGGTGGGACCTAGAGGTAGGTTACACAACGCTCAATTAAAGAGTCCGCTCTTGTTTAAGAAACCCGGTGGGTCAGGATACTTCAATCACTGTGCACTGTTCCAATCTGCTTAAATTGCGAGCTCGCAATATTTTTTTTTCTAAACGTATGATACATCTAAAATAAGCCTTTTTATATTGCTTTATAAATCAATTTCTGTTACATAAACAAGTAAAAGAATTAATAAAGATTTAAAAGACTAGTTTGAAGGATTAAAAAGAGGGCGGGTAGTGTAATTATTCTGATAGGTGACTACAAGATCAATCTGTCTAAAAACCAAATCAGGGAGTTCCTAGAAGGTTTGACTGTAATGTGGTACTTGCTAGCAGAATGCAAATTGTAGTCTTACTAAATACACATAAACAGTATATAACTTTTATATAGTTTCAACAAAATAAAGGCCGTAAATAAATGACTTTTTTTTTCATAAGCACGAGAGAAATAACCCACAGATGTTTGGAAGTGTAGAAAAAACTATAATTCTGCCTTATGTCGGAATTTAGTGGGGTTTTTTTTTTGGTGGACAGCCTAACGAATCAGATCAGTTTTTATCTATATACTGTATACGACTGTATTCATCTTTCTTTTTCGCACGACGGTTTTGACGATGACTTCACACTATCCTCTCCAGTCTCGCTTACCCGAGCGTTTGAAGCGGCGCTTGGTTATACGGCTGGGTGATTTCCCCAAAGTCGCCAGGAGAGGCCGCTGTTTCTCTTCCTCCAGCTATGGAGCGTTAACAGCCAGGCTCCGAAAGCGAAACCGGAAACTCGCAGATACAGTACCAGCTTTCAGTTTCATTATTCACTCTGGGCATCGCCGTGAGTCGTATTTAACAAGGAAGGTCAAATACGGCAACGAGAATTAGCCAGCTAGTTAAAATGCGCTCCTTCGTACCTGCAAACCTTAACGTAACAAAAAGGATAAACACAATAATTATCTCTGTTTTATACAACGCCTTTCACGGTACCTCGAGACTTGAAATAGAAAATACATGGACCTGTTGAATGCAGTTTTGCAAAGCAAGGAAAGCTCTGAACTCGTTTGCAAGCCCGGTTAATTGATTTTCCTTACATACCTGAATGGCCACCTGCTGGTTTATAGGACTGTGCAGTTCAGTGCACTGGCTGACCTGACAGAGACAAGAGTGGCTCTGGGGCTCATTCATTTTGGGTCATTTACTTTACTCAACTATCTCTGCTTTTACAATTTGCAAGCCAAAATATTATAAGCAAAATAAAATCCCGTTATTAGTTCCCTTGATAGGACTCAATTAAGCAGTTAAGAGTCCTGCTGGAATAAAAGCCAGCAGACAGAGTGCTCTGCAGGACTAGGAGGCTGATTCTTTCAGCTGCTCTGAGAGTCTTCCACAGTTCATACTGTAAAGTATGACATTTTTGCCAATTTTTTATTAGTTTTTAAGATTTTCTTGGGCTCAGTTTCTGGTTTGCTCTCTGTGCGGAGTTTGTCATTTGTTTCCTCCTGCAGTGCACAGACATGCTGAAGGTTAGTTGGCCCTGGTGTGTGTGTGTGTGTCTGTGTGTGCCCTGCGATGGACTGCTGTCTGTCCGGGGTGTATCCTGCCTTGCTCCTGTTGCCTTGCTGGGAAAAGGCTACCCTGTGTCCCTGACTTGTGTAGGGATGCAAGGAGTCACAACGCTCTGCAGTGAAGGTTCCAGATGAGTTTAATTGTGTTGAAAATGGCTGCTTCCAGAGAAAACAGAAGGAAATACACACAAGACGTATTTCCCACTGTGCCCTGAATTCCAACAGTGTCACAGAGGGCTTTGTAGTACAAGAGTTGGGGGGGTTAAGACTGACCATCCCCTTTTTGCCCAGTGGCTATTCCTGATGTTATCCCTCCCCCCCCGCCTTTGAGCTATTCCTGAGGTGCCACATGCAACAGCAGGTGTCTGTTCTAAATGCCCTCAAGCCAGGTCAGGAGTAACGAGTCAGATTTCAACACAATAATAATCCCTTACACTTATATAGCGCTTTTCTGGACACTCCACCCAAAGCGCTTTACAGGTAGTGGGGATCCCCTCCACCACCACCAGTGTGCAGCCCCCACCTGGATGATGCGACAGCAGCCATAGTGCGCCAGAACACTCCCCACACACCAGCTATCAGTGGGGAGGAGAGCAGAGTGATGAAGCCAGTTCAGAGATGGGGATTATTAGGAGGCCATGATTGGTAAAGGCCAATGGGAAATTTGACCAGGACGCCCCTACTCTTTTCGAGAAACGCCCTGGGATTTTTAATGATCAGAGAGTCAGGACCTCAGTTTTCCATCTCATCCGAAGGACGGCGCCTTTTTACAGGGTAGTGTCCCCGTCACAGGGTGAGCGCCCCCTGCTGGCCACACTAACACCTCTTCCAGCAGCCACCTTAGTTTTTCCCCAGGAGGTCTCCCATCCAGGTACTGACCAGGCTCCCACCTGCTGAGCCTCAGGGGGCTGCCAGCCGCAGGGCGACATGGCTGCTGGCCACACTGGCTCGAAGTTGCCAGAAAGCAGATGGTGTGAGTCGCTCTCGTTACAGAAGAGGCTGGCAGGCTGCAGGACTCAGCGAGAGGGGGTGATGTGATGTGTCGATCTTGCCGCAGGATGCCATTAATAAGATCCCACAATTAACCGAGCTGTGGGCAGGGGGCCTTTTGCTCCACTCAGCCCCCGTACGAGCAAACGAGAGCCCCTCTAGTACTTGATGGAGAGAACAAGTGTAAAGCAGATGTAGTGATTCACCAGTGTAGACTGAATGGTGAGCAATTTGCCTACTGTGAAATAAACTCATTTATCTTTGCACCCTTTCAGCACCGGAGAGCGCTCACTATTGGAGGAGCACACTAGATCGGAGAATCGGGAGGGAATGGCATGAGCTGCCTGCTTTCTGGCTGGCTTGACACTCTTTTGAATTAGCCGTGAATTTGACCTGTCTTAGTTCAAGTTCAAGTTTATTGTCATTACACTCATATACAGGTATATGGTATAACGAAATGCTATTGAGCTAGCTCTCAGACGATAAGTGGTACAAAAAAACAACAATGCAATTGTATAATAAAAGGAAGACAGAGACAACAGGCAGTGTGCAAAACAACAAAAAGGTAACAGGTAATGTGCAAAACAACATCAGATGTGCAAAAACATGCATCAGCAGAATGAAATAAAGGATAGAAAATTATAGGGAGTGAGCTTTTTGACATGTAAGGTAGAGGTAGATTTCCACGTGTGTTTGAGTTTTTGGTAAGAAAGAAGGCACTGTGAGGTTCAGATCGTAGGTGAGAGAGGCTGGGAGTTTAATAGTTTGATAGTGCGGGGGTAAGAACTGTCTCTGAGTCTGGTGGTCCGGGCCCGAATGCTCCGGTACCGTTT